CCTCAAAGTAAGCAGGATCCTTTTATATCAGAATCTAAGGAGAATTGCAAACTAGTCTTGTGGGTACCCAGAAAAGTTCCTATTTAAGGGCCTGGTGTGTGAAAGATTACCCATAGCTTGGAAGTCTCTCTCATGCAGTATGATTTTCATTTAGTGATATGCAGACCTCTTCAAACAGAGCAGTAGAGATTCTTCTAGGCATAAATGCATCATTCTATCCTTCTCTGGTTGGACCATGGAAAGGTGAGTCATTTGATGACCTGTATTGTAACTTGTAAGGGTATTTTTAGAAGGAGAGAGGTCAGATTCTAGTGGATGAATTTATTTTTCACAAAATCCAGTTTGCAGCTACTCTGTGTGTGACATAAGCAAAAGAGGTAATTTTGGAATTCACATTTTGTTTTTCACAGTCTGCTTTTATATGTTTAAGCCTGTGAATATAATCTCTTGGCCATTCTTGAGTCATTCTAAAATGACTTTTGAATGGTCAGTCTATTAGGCTAACGTGAAGAAGATTGAGGTATTTTTCAGTTGTAAATTTCTCTCTCCGAAACTGTTGAATGTTTAGGTTTTTTTATTATTTCTGTAGTACCTAACTTTCTTCCCAAGCCTAATGTTTAGTTTATCATAAAGATACCAGTCTATTCTTTTCCCACCTTCTGTATCTCACCCTGTATCTCACTGTCATGTGCCAAGCCCAAATGATTATTATTGCCCATATTCACAATCCAGAGGATATTGAAAGTTACCTTGTCGGATGCGTTCATCCTGGAAGTGTTCACGGCCTGTCTGGATGGTGTCTTTGAGCAACCTGCTCTCATGGAAGATGTCCCTGCCTGTGGCAGGGGGTTTGAAACTAGGTGATCTTTAAGGTCTCTTCCCAGTCAAACTGATTCTGTGACTCTGTAGAAATCTAGCTTTCAACTAACTTTTCCTTTGCGTGTATATTCTCTTGCTTATCTCTTCTGATCTGCATCATTGGTTTATTAAATTTTTTGGGTTTGTCTGTGATTTTTCTCAAGAGATACTGGAGTGACTGACCGTAGTTGCGGCCTCTAGTTTCTAGTGGCATATTTTCTGAGCATTGCTTGAAGATAAGGAAGCTCCCAAAAGGAACACGGCAGAAAAATCCATAATGTTTAGGGATAGTGGTGCAGTAAATAGAAGAGTGTTGTCAGGCACAGGAATTTTAACAGTGAACTAGGGCTGGAACTCCCTGAATAAAGTGTAACTGCAAACTGCAGATGTAATGCTGATTTGCAGTGTTCCTTTGCAGAAATTGTTTAAGAGGTAAGACTTGTCATTTTTGAAAAAAACTGTGAACTCCTAGGATACATTACTTCACAGATGTAATGCATATAATATTAGGGAAGCTAGGGAATTGAGAATGCTTGTAAGAGTACTGGGAGATAGGTGAACACCGTAACTGTTTTCCATTGTTTCTGCTTAAAGAGATAGAGAAATTCAAAATACTGTTTTTTCCTGATATGGTTTAAAAAGAAAATACCAAACCAAATGAACAGCAAAAGCTCCAAAAAGTCTTATAAGGATTTCATCTCATCTAGTTCTAATTGCAGTACAAATTTTGAAGAACAGCATTGCTGAAAAAATAGGATCAGTTTGTGCAAACTTAAGTTCTGAAGTCCAGGTAACATCTGAAGACCTGGAAGTGCAGATATACTTATGGCAAACTCTACCTTTTCATTTTTTTCAGGCTTACAGTAATAATCAAGTATACATTATATCGTGATGTTTAAATCAGTATAGATATATTAACTATATTTTCCTTTGAGACCATAAAAAAAGGAATTTTATGGCATTATTTATTCTTTAGAATGTAGTTGCATCTGATTATCTTGTGTGCATATAGGCATGTGTTATAGCAGGTTAGAGATATGTATAGCATTCTTAGTTATTGAGGAAGTTCATAGTTACTAAAATAGAATAAGCCACCTTGTTTTTTTGTAAATATTTGGCTAATTTGAAAATGTTATGCCAAGATACGTTCCTGGGTGTTGTTATCTTATTTTTTTTTTGTTTTGAATAGTCTAAACAGTTACTTTAGACTGTCAGGAATCCCTTGGACACTGCAGAGCTTAGCACACTAGCAGTCGCCAAATGTCTGGCTTTAAGACTCGGGCTGTTTGTTTTATCAGGTGGCAGAATGCTTTCCTATCTGTTCTTCTCCCCTAAAGATAAGTAGCCAGAATAGTGTTCAGCATGACTGCGCTGTAAAGTGAAAATGTTTTCTTGTGAGTGGTTCCCTCTTCTCATTAAAAAGGGGATTTGATTATTGTCACCTGAAGAAGCTAGCAATTAAAATGTTTTTTTCAGCTCATTTTAGTAATAAAGTTTTTCTTTGAATTATTGAAAGGACTCTTAAAGTAGTCAAGATACCCTCTCAACATTAATTCAGTGATGGCACAATACAGACTTAAAATACCTGTCTTAGTGGTAAGGTACACAAAATGAACAACCTTACTGTAATTCAAGGCAGAATAAGCAATCTTGCAGTGACTGAGGTAAGAATGATCAAAATGCTCCTTCTCCTTCCAGCAATAGATGGTTTATGTGAAAGCCTTTGATTCGCAGAAGTAGTGCATCTTTTGTTGTAGGTGAGGTCAGAATGAATCTTGGAGGCTGTTTGTTTCCTTTTCACAATTCTGTTTTTATGGAATGTGCTTATAGGCAAGTACAGACAGTGACTGTTACAATTTTTTGCAGCAAATACCAATTTATGGTGCAGGGAATGATGAAGCATTGAAAACTTAATTTGTGTTATAATTATACCTTTGTCTATGTGCTTTATAATGTCAGTTGAACAATATACTCTTTTTCATAATGAGAGCTTCACTTGGGAATTTTGAGTTACAGCTGCTTCTCAGCATGTAAACCACTAAGCCTGTGGAAGTGTCGCTTAATGCTGTGTGGGCTATATCTTTCAGGATGTCACGTGTAGCTGTTTGTAAACTTTTACTGTTACCTTCTCATGTGCTGGCCTTGACTGCATGCAGGTGCCCAACATGCTGCTTTATCACTTCCTTTATCAGCAGGGTGGTGGGAAGAGCATGGGCCCTGTTTTTTTTTCTTTAGGTGCATATGTGATTCCATGCTAATATCTATCTAGTTGCCCTTCAGGCACCTGGGACTACTCATGACATGCATATGCTGTGAATGTGAAAACAGAGGGCATGAGTCTTCTGCTGATTCATCTCTTAATATATGTGTGTGAAAAGGGAAAGAAATTATACAGTGGATTGGCAATTAGAGCTGTCATTAGTGGGAAGAAGTAAAGTTAGAAGAAGGGTAAGTTTGGCTAAACCAAAGATAATGAGAGTTTTAGTTTTATCAGAGAAATAAAACTGATAGAACTGATGAAGACAAAACAAGTATGAAGGAAGTCAGCCTGATGCTATAGAGACTTCCTGTGAAGCTTGAAAAGTCATGAAGGGATTGGCAAATAAGGATAAGGGAACAGATATGATATAAAGTGTGCATAGAAATAAATTTAAAATCAGACTTTGGCAAGAGAAAATTATAACAAAGATGTCAGGTGTCAAAAAGATAGATTGTGTCTGTTTTAGGAAACTTGAGTGGTACCAGATAAATGAGCATTTTGAGTGTAATGATTCACATGACCTTTGTAGAAACTTGCTCAACAGTACTAGACTACTTTTAGTACATTTCTTTCTGTGTACATGGACTATTTTCATCTCTGTGTTACAGATGTTAGTGAGATATGTTAGATGTTTTAAACTCTAATTACTTTCGACCTGTGTGTTGCTGTTAAATTAAATTCCCTGAGTTGCATTGACTGTGTTGTGGCTGCTGAAGTGACAGTTGTGAAGCTCCGTGAGAGCTGGGCGTAAAGGCACAGGTAGAAATGGGAAGCTGGTCCATGGTCTTTTATAAACCACATAGATAACTTGGCTCCTGTAATGAATTTTTAGATTTTGTAATTAATTTTGTTAGCTTCAGAGAGTCCTCTTATTTCAAAAGACGCTCTATAGTAATGATGGACTTACTAAATCATAATTCAAGATCATTAGATATTGGTGATTAAGAAGCAAAGAGAATTTTAATGTTTTCTAAAGAGAGGAAAAAAAATTATATTGTCCTGTTATTGTCTTAAAATGGTATCATATTTTAAAACAATTATTTGCCCTATTTTTAGGGGTATATCCATGAAAATAAAAATGTGAAATCAGTCTCTTGTGTATGATTTTCTCCTCGTGTGATGGCTGGTGTGAAGGAAACCTTGCTTACTTTTACATATATATTGCAGTAGTGTTTATTTTTTGTGATAGCACTATTTCTATAGACTTGAATTTTCTTCTTTTCCAGAACCCTGTAAAGAAAATTCCGGATTCTCATGAAATTACACTCCAGCATGGAACAAAAACTGTAAGTGGTAACATATTTTCAACACTTCTTAATTTTCTAGAACTGTGTCAGTCTATGAAATAAGTTAACAAATACTTGTTATTAGCTAAAGTTCAAGAAAGTAATTCTCTTCCTTCATTTGTTATTTTAGTCTAGCTCTTTTCTTACTGGTGTGTTTTAGGACCACCTCTTCAATTTCTTGTAAACAACCTAAACATGGCTCCATTTGACTCAGTTGTAGTCTCATGTTCATCAAATATGCTCTCTGTAGTTGTTCTAGGCTAGGTCTTTGTAATGTAGTCATAGGTCCAGTCTAGACCTTTCTTTGAGTGGTCGTGGGTTTCAAAGAGAATGTTATTGCTGAAGTTTCTAAGACTTCTTTGCAGCTGAATACAGGTCTTCTTTTGCCTTGAATCTTCTAGTGCTTTTTATACACCGTTCTCAATTCTTTGGAAACTTGTTCTTGCTTATTTTTGACTACATCTTTTCTAGGTTTCACCTGGAATATTGCTCCTCTGTTTTCTTTTAAAGAACACTATCTGACTCGGAACTATAATTTCTTTGCTCTAGGTGTTCTTATTTCTGGTAGTCTCATGTTTCAATACAAATTCAACTGCTTTGATGTGCTGAATGATCAAAGACCTATTATTATAGAATTGAATTTATTTTCTAGTCATAAATGGCTCTGAATCTGTTCCCCAGTCCTGTTACCATGTTCTTCATTGGTCATTAAAAAAAGATGCTGCTGCTGCTGTTCATTCTCTTCAATTTGGGCCATGACTTAGGCTTTAATGATAAAATAATACTAGAATTTCTTCTATTATTGTTATATTCCTGTGAAAGCACTGTCAGCTGGTTAGTAGAATTCTCACTCATGTCATTCATAAGAATTTCTTTGGAGAGAAGGAAGAAAATAGGAAAGAAAAAACAAAGGCTTATTTGAGAAAAATGCTTTTTCCTGAGTTTTTACAGTCTTAAGAAATGTATACATTTCCTTTATTGGATTTTATGTAATTAATATCATGCAGTCACTAATTTGACATTCAGAAAATTAAGAATGTAAAAAATAAAGAGTTATTAAAGCAACACATATAAAATGAACTGAATTTATGAGTTCATATTTTGAATTTTTAACATTTTTTTAATATCAGACATTTAAAAGGAATTTTCTGGGACTTGTAACTTAACAGTTTCAATTTAAGAGATCATAAATTTTTTATAAACTTTCAGAAAGATGTTTGGGTTTTTATAGAAGTGTCTATTCAGTAATCTGGCATCAAGCTTTGCGATCAGTCTTGAAGTGCTGAGAGGTGGTAAGGCTTACCCATTTGTTAAATCATAGTGCTAGGCATACAGACATAGAGGGAGGAGTGGACAGAAGTAACCAGAATGTTATAAATGAAAATAGAAAAGTACTCTCTTTTCAGACCTGTAAAAGATGCATTGTATTACAGTAAACAAAAGTAGAGTGGATTTTTCAACACACAGCGCATGCAACTTCTTTGCATACTAGTTTCTGTGAGTACTATGGTTTGCAGGCAGAGCAGTGTACTCGTGCAAACCTGTTTCCCATTGTGCATGTGGCAGTAATTGCTTCTGCAGTATGTTTCTTGAATGCATTTCCTAACAGACTTTGTTAGGTAAAATATTTTAAATTATTTTTCTTTACATTAAGCCAGTAAATCTTTTCATGGCTTCTTAAAGAATAAGCTCATGTTATTTAAAAGTACAAGGCTTTGTAAAGTGGAAGTTACAGTTTTGGAAGACTTCTGAGATATTTTGACTGTAGGAGAATGCAGCTGTCATCACCTTGAACAGAGGTGAATTGTAATGTGGGATATATATAGCACAATTGGATTAGACTGGATGCAGTAAATGAAACATATAATTTGAAAAAGAGCTCTTCTATATAAGGACTGCCTCTTTTTTTTGTTGTGTATGTGGTCTTTGTTTGTTTGTTTGCTTTAGAATAGTGAAAGTACTTAGCCATGAGCTTAGACACATACAAGGATGGGAGCCACTTCCAATCTTGGTATCAGTGTTCCACCCCCGTGTTTTTAAGTACAGTCTTTTCATTGTGTTCATACAGTGTACTGCATTTCAGTTAAACTTATGTATTCCATCTGTACCTCTTCAATCTAGTGAGTGTGGGTTTCATGATGACTCTATTCTTGTGCAGCTGAGAAGTCTCAGAAAAGATTTCCCAAGCTGGAGAGTATTTCCAGAAACCTGATTAATTTCATGGTTGTCTTGCTTGTATGGTGTAATAGGAATTACTGTTCCCAGTGAAACTTCAGAGTGGTTTTGGTTGGTTTTTTTTTTCTCCTGGCACTTTTGATATATAGGTAGATCTGCGAAAGAATACGTAATCAGAGGTATTCTGAACAATGTGCTGTCCAACATCTCGTGTCACAGCTGCTCACTCCTGTAGCAGTTCCTGAAAATAGAACACTTGAGTGTTCTGATTAATCGTGGAGATGCCCAGTTTTTTTGCATGTCAGAAATCATGAATGAAATGACTAGGCTTCAGAATTTCCATTATTTTGGGTTTATTTGGAAACACACAAGAGGTTACATCTGTTTGATTTGAAAGTCAATTATGTCATGGTGACATAATCACTATGCGGAGTTTAATTCATTCATAGGGGAACACAAAGCACTACACTGAAACATTTGATTCAGGGAAGTAAAAAGAAAAATGTTGAAACTTACTCGACTGGGCATGGAAAAGGGACTATCTCATGCTAAATTCCATGTTTTAAACTGTTTTGTGTGGGAACTGTTCAACAGTTTATGTAAGTTTTAAAAGTCTCCATAACATAGTGTATATACTGAAACTTTGAATAAAAAAAAAATGTAGTAGGCATATATCTTTGAGACAGGTTTTTTTGGTGGTACTTCTATGTGTCTGCATTAAATCATACTGTCAGTACTTTTCATGTATACATATAAAGAAGGTACATACAGATAAGCATCCTTATATGCAGATTGTTGTAATTTTTGTACATCAGTAGCTGGAATTTTTAAATACAGATTTGGGTATCTGAAAGTAATTGGCCAGAGGTATTTTTACCTTGAAGACATTCACATTCAGTGGTGCTAACCTGTAGTCATGACGCTATTCTCAGGTGTTATCTTCCACTCAGAAATTAAGGCTTTTTCTTCTTTCATTCTGTATACAGGTTTTTGTTTGATATTTTTTTAGCCACTAAGTTTTGTGCAAGTCTGAATGTTCTTGGTGGAGTATATTACTATTTTTTTTCCTTCAAAATTTTCTGGCTTATCTTTTCAAATACCTATCCTGGCGTTTTCTAGAACTTCTTTATTATTATACTTTTTATTATTATTTTGACTTTCTTTTATTGTGTTGAAGACTGTCTTTCTTAGTGGAAGGGTTTCTGAACCTGATGATTATCTGTCTTATGAATGTGGGATGACCCAAGTCTTTGTCCAGTTGTTAAAAAGTAATCTGCTGGTTAGTTTATACCCATGGTCTGCATTTATACCCGAGTATGAATTCCAGGTTTCATCTTCTCATGTAGACTTTTTCAGGCATTTTAATGTTTCAGGTTGGGTGTAATATCGAGTAATTCTAAAAATACTCCTGTTTTGATATAGCTCTTGTTTTCATAATACTCTTGCTTTTGCTAAAACTTTTCAACACTCTTACACAAGTGACTGAACTTTTGAGAATTAATCTCTTGGTTTGTAAATTAACTTAGCACATTGTCTAGCTAATCTTTTACTAGTGCTTGAAATCATAGTAGCTGGTAATATTTCCACAATTGAGAAAAGAGAAGAAAAATAGTTCATATAATTTTCAATTAAATGCATTCTATTTCCCTTCTCAGTAAGGTGATTTGAACACTGCTATTTATTATAGTATATTATATAATATTCGTTATAGTATAGAACATTACTGTTCTTCAAATAGAGAATTAAAATAGATGTTCGCTAAAAATTCCATTTTACTTGACCTTTGGTTTTAGGATAACAGGTGAGAATAACAAGGATTACACATTCTTTCCTTTAAGTTCTGAGTAGCTCTGAGCAGCTGCTTTGCATATAAAAGAGGTGGCTTTTGATAAGTTTTATTGACCTGTTTTATTAGAATAGTATCATTTTATAATTTGTGATTTTTTTATATCAAGTTTGTAATTTAAAATTTTTTGTTAGAAGAGAAATTTAATGAAACAATATATATGTATAAGAGCTGTCTCGAATAAACTTAAAATCTTAAATGGGTGGATGTTAAGTACCATTTCATTATCTTACTAGAAATACCATATTTTTGTATTTATGATGAAAGTGTAGAGTACAATTTTCTTCATGAAATGAAACATCCAAATTCTGCCATGGTATGATTAGGAAGCAAACACTGTGAACTAATTTTTTTCAGCTGTCTTCAGTGGTTTATTCAGATTATGTAATTTCCACTTCCTTTTTGCCTACCCCTTCAAACGTTCTCAGACATTAGATGAGGTAGTGAAAATCAAAATGAAAATACAACTAACACATTTTAGGAAGAAACCAGCACACTGGATTGTTAAGTGTTTGGTGGATTTTTCTTTTCACTTTAGTGGTATTTTATATTTTGGTGACACCTTAGCTATTGTAGGAAAAAAAAAGGTTTGAATGATTATAGTTTGGGTTTTTTTCTGTACAGGTTTCTGCTTTGGGCTTGGATCCTTCAGGTGCTCGTTTGATAACTGGTGGATATGACTATGACGTAAAATTTTGGGATTTTGCTGGAATGGATGCTTCTCTCCAAGCTTTTCGGTCACTCCAGCCTTGTGAATGGTGGGCATGAAGACTGACTTTTGCACTTAAAACTATGCCTGTGTTAAGCTTCTGGTAGTATGTGTGAAAGCTTTGCAAAATAGCTTGTTTAAGAGGCTTTTGTATACTGTTTTATTTTTTGTAGTAAATGGAATGTGAATCTAAGAATTTGTTCACCTCTCTTGTCATGCGTTCCTGTTCTAGAAAACTACAGGTGAATTTTGCAGATTAAATTGTTAATAGCACATTAGCAAATGAACTTGTCCAAGAGACAAGTTGACTTTGATAGTTGTAACCAAAATTAATGCAATACACTTTCCGTATGTACTCTGCTTATATAAAATTAATTAAGATGTGGAGAAAGACAAAACATTGACCCCATTGTGAAGAGCCTCTTTAGTTGCTGCCAGCATTTCTGAGTGGGGTGGTGGTATACTTAATTTTCATGAAGTCCTCTGTTTCAGGAAGCACTGGTCCTCTGCATGGCAGTGATCATTGAATAACTATATGGTGTGCAAATACTGTCTTTTTTGAAAGAAAAAAGCTATATATTTGTTTATATTTGTTCCCATATTTGTATATAGGCAAATGAAAAAGAAAACACAGGAAGCACTTTTAGAGAGTGATTTCCATACTACCCTTACTGTTCACTGGTAATTTGGAGAGTAAGTGAAATGAGTTCATTTACTTACTCCAGAGGACTGGAATGCATAACTCCTTCAACAGTAGTGCACAGTGAACTTTCAGATAAATACTCTCATAAAATAAAACACAGTTGTTTTAGCAAGGTACATTCTAATGTTTAACTAATGTACACACTTTATAAGGTACTTTGGTATGCTTAAAAAAGGATTTGAGGTTTATTATGCACACAGTAAGTAGTACTTAGGATGTCTGTTTTTGATCATTATTGTCTTAAAAAGCTGCAACTGAATTTTGGTCAGTTTAGAAGGTTAGAATATGTATAATTGGTTATAGATATGCCAAGGATCTAGATAATGAAAGATGAGAAATGATGTGGCTGTTAGCTTGAAAAGGAGCAATATAGATAGGGATTCTACTGTTGTTCTAAACTGCGAAAAATCAGGAAAATAAAAAGTGTGCTTTGATGAATTATGCAATTTTGATGTCTTTGGCAGACTTGACATTTTATAATAAACCAACAAGTGGCACATTTATTTTGAAAACAAAATTTAGTAAATATGTCACTTTGAAATAAATAAATAGATAAATAACAGTCTCCAAATGTGAAGTCACATTCAGACTTTTCTACCATGAGTTTCATTTACATGATTAGTTAGCAGGATATAAACAGTGTTTTCCTCTCCTCTGCCATAACTTAGCAGTAAGAAAGAGCTGACAGTCTTTACTCTCATAGCAGGATATCATTTGAACGAAGCATTTTCAAATACAGCAGAAGACTTCATTCACATTTTAGTAGTGTTTGTTAATAGTAGTATAAAAGGTAAATGTGGTTTAAAAACCACAAATGCAGTGTACATTATCCTTTCAAGGATAGCTCACAGTTAAAGTGGTAATCTTTTGGCAAAAGCTGTAGGTAAAATGTGAGCTTAAAGTGTTTGTTAACCCTAACACTGTTCATTTAGTGCATTGCGAGTATCTCACAAGTATTTTTATATAAATTTTCTTTGTGGAATTCTTCTGGTTTGAGTATGTTGATGCATGAATAAAGTACAGAAAACAAATGTAAAATAATATTAAAGACAGAATTGGCTGGTCTAAAGCTTGGGAATTTCACATATATTGCAAGTCTCATGTACTAATTTTAGGTATTTTTTAAAAATGCATTACTTAAATACCACTTCAATATATTTTTGTAAACATAAAACTGGAACTATAGCTCTGTCTAGTAAAAAGATTCAAATTCAAGAAAGAGTTCTTTCATGCTGATATTGAGACATGCTGGTGAACGTGCTGTGGAATATTGCATAACTTGCATCCAGGTGTATATATATGTTCTTATATTACTTTTTTCACTGTGGAGTTTATTGCGAGGACTGTTAGCATTCACAGACTTGAATTTCAAAGAATTTTGAGGAGTTCTGGTATGGAAACTTCAGGTGTTAGCAGAAGTTGAGATCTGGAGCCATAAATTTAATTTCATTTTAAGAATAAAAGAGACTGAGATCAATTCTACATTGTCAAGGCTCCATTTTGTAACATAATATCAAGTTACTCTGTTAATTTCTCCTTGGATTTGGGATGTAAAGGGGAAAAAAGAGTGACAAAACACTAGTACCTTCAAACCACCCTCGTTGTTAAAGGCAAAAGCAAGGGTAAAGCAACACTGTTACGTGTGTAGAAAGGATTTGTGTATCGTGATTCTACCCATGGATGTAGCTCTGTGCTGCAGGTCCTGGCAGAAAGTACTGTGCACATTTGGGAGCTTTAAACCAAAATGACTCGGATTAATGCTATTAAAGGGAATTGTTTTTGTAAGTTTCCCAAGACTTTTGCTTTAACATTAATAAGAACCAAAAATACTTTCTTAAAGAACTGCCTCTGCAGAGCCTCACTCTTGGTCATGCTCCAGTAAACATCTGAAAAGTGGTAACTTCTAGGACTTTGTCGATCCTCTGCTTATGGAAGCGGTTTTTGGACCTGATTTTAAAAGTCATATTGCACAGTCACGAAGGTTATGGGTTTCTTTGTGTTTGGATAAAGCTTATGGAAATCTTGTCTCTCAAACAAATTTTTTCACATGATTGAGTGATGAATTACTGATTATGCTCCATTGTACTAGCTGCTGTAAAGTCAGTTGCTTTTCCTTGTTAAACTTTAAGATGAAAGCAAAGTTTGTTCAGACCTGCTGGTACAGAACTACTAGGAAACAACGATACAGTGTTGTTCAAATTATAAAGTTTTATGTAATGGTACTCATGTCTGTGGTTTTATTTTCAGCATTTCAGTGTCTGAAAACAGTGTTTTCAGAAGGCTGTGGCCCTTTACATATTGCGGATTCTTTCAGAAATCAGATTTTGCTTCTGAGCAAGCTGTTTGATCATATCCAGTGGCCAGATCCTCTTCATGCATGAGACATGCCTCAAGTGAAAATAGTATTTGAGTCTAGTTTTTAAATATTTTTGGTTTTTACATTTTGGCAATGATAAGTGCAAAACATGAACTTGTACTTTGAACATGGTTGTTTTCTTTAGAAAATTTCAGTATTAGAGTATGAGAAACATAACCTGGTATGTAGTTCATTCTGTATGCAGTACTCAGGTGGGGCTCAGGAATATTTTGGGTTTCATATGAATCATGTGATTGGGCAAGAGCACTTGGAAGTACAACCACGGAAAATTTTTTAATTATGAAGATGTGTTTATTGTGCAAAAGCTGAATCTGATGGATTCTTCAATTGTGGCTTGTCAGCTGTCTGCAGAGAATATTCTGGACTTTAGACACTATTTCTCTTGTGGCTTTCTTTTTAAAGTTTTTGAATGTTTTCTCTGAGCTTAACATAGCTGGCCATCTTTCCCCTCTTGTAGCGAGTATCCATTTTTGCTCTTGAGGATCAGGATGTTTTTTTCAGACATTGCCTGTGATCTATTTCGGAAATTCCCAGATTTGAGTATCTCCTTTCTGTTAAAAATCAGAGTTTATAATACTCTGTCCAATTTGGCTGCCAGTTTGTATTACATAATAGGGTACTTGGAGCAATTTTTGGCATTTGAATTATTATAGAATCACTTTTGCCAAACATTTTTAAATAAGAAACTTATGCTTAGTTTACATTACTATGATCAATGCAGAACTTTTAAAAGATGTATTGCAGTGTTTTAAGGGTTGCATGTAGTAACTCATGGTTTGAGGACAGATCTAACAGATAATAGCTACTGCTGAGTCAGTCATGAAGTCACTACTGTGTAAGATCTGAAATGTTCAATTATTAAGTTACAAGTTGCATAATTGGTCTTGTTGATCATCTGAGTATTAACTTTGCTGGTGGGATATAGTTTCCTGAGAGTTACTAGGGTTTGAATGCATGTGGTCATGTTCTACACCAAAAGGAGGATATTTCTTTGAGGACAGTTTGGATGCCATAGGAATTCAAATCTAGCTGGAAAATACATTCCAGTCCTGTACTTGAGATTGATATACCTGCAGAGCTGAAGCATTATTATAAAGTGATGTTACTGTGCACATTCTGTTAATGTGCCAGGATATAAATTCTGGCAAGTGTGAGGTGCATAGACTGCTTTGCTTCTTTGCTATCCTTGTAATGGAATATAGGGGGATCAAAGGGATGTCTGCTTCAGTGCGACAATTGCTGGGAACTTGGTTCATAAAGCAGAGTGCTGAGAGAAGGTGCTGATCCTGGAAATGGGCTTCTCATTCATCAGTCAGCTTTCCACTTTTTGAGTTCATTTTTGTTGTTCCAGTATTACTCCCATGATTTTTGTCCCAGGTTTTCTCAATCGATAGATGTGTTGTGAGAACAGTTGCAACAGATGAACGGTCATCTAAGACATAACAGACTAGGCAGATTATTATTGTTATTTTTCCAGAAGTGATAGTATATTTAACGTTATCTTCGTGTTTGATGAAACTTAAGCTCACACCATAGAAAGAAATGCAAGATTGCTGACCTGTGCCTAATTTCCTGGAGTACAATGTACAGTGGAGTTTTGCGTATGACTACACCAGCATTTTCTAGTAATTTATATGTTACCATAATCCTACATTTTACTTTTGAGAAGATGAAAAACAATTTTCAGCCCTGAGTAATTGAATCTGACTCATGCGATTTTTCCATTGGAGTTGTAATAGCCTTCTTAAAATTAAATATGTTTGCCAGAAATGACATTTTAGGTGCCAGCTTTTTTAAGAATATTGTTTGAACTGTGTGGTTGAAGGAAACATGACATGTGCACACACACAGAGGAATAAAAAGCTTCAATCCATTAATTTAAGATTTTTCCCCCTCAGTTTTTTTTGATACAGGATTGTACATGGGTTTATTTCTGCAATACGTTCTCTCACCAATGATGCTTTTTTTTTAGTGTAGGTTTACAGGAATTTTAATTGAATTGATATCTTTTTTTTCTCTTTTCTTTTTAGTCACCAAATCAAGTCTTTGCAGTATAGCAGCACAGGAGATGTAATTCTTGTTGTCTCTGGGAACTCTCAGGCAAAGGTTCTTGACAGAGATGGCTTCCCAGTAATGGAATGCATAAAAGGAGACCAATACATTGTGGATATGACAAACACAAAGGTAAAGTCAGAAATTAATTGAATGCCAGAACACTGACACTGTAGTGTTTTTTGCTCTTAACAAGAAGCCTCATGAAGTTCAATAGGGAAGAATGCAAAGCCCTGTCTCTGGGATGTGATAGTCTTGTGTATTGATACATGCTGGAAGCTGTGGGACCCTCAGCCATGGAGGTTTTGAAGACCCAGCTAGACAAAGTCATGGCTGACCTGATCTGGTAGTAGCTGTAATCTGGCTTTGTGTGGGAGGTTGACCTAGATGAACTCTAGAGGTGTTTTACAGGTAATGTTTCCATAGTGCTAGAACACATTAATGTATTTAAAAATGTGTCTTGCAAAAATTGTCAGCTTCCTGCATAGCCTTGTCCAGCCTACATAAAAAAAACCTCACCAAAGTAAACTAAAAGCAAAACAACAAAAAAAGAACCCCAGCTACTGATCTGGTCCAAATTCTTGCTTTTCTTGTACCCTCCATTCTTTTGCTGATACAGTTTACCTCTTTTGTGACAGGGCTTGGATGTACTTGTTTTGTTTCCTGCATGCTGTGAGTGTAAGACTAATAAGCATTAATGTGTGTATTTTTAATGGTGGTTGAAAATGCAGATTGGGAAGGGTTCATTCATAGTTTTGAAGTACTTTAACCACAGTTGACTGGGTTTTGACCACTTTACCTTTGTATTTCCACAGACAAGGATTCTGTTTACCTAGATGATTTAAATTCAGATCAGTTTTTTTTAAATAACTTAGGCCTAAAAAGTAATGATAAAACCTACTGGTCAAACTGATGATAAAGTTGGTCTATTTATTGCTTATAAAGCATATTGCCAAATAACTAGGCTAAATGCTGTTTTGCCTAAGGCTCTTCTTGTCAGATGAGTATTTCTTTTGGCTGGTGATACAGATATAAACCCATCAAATAATAATATCTGCTTTAGTTCTTGTTTCCTTAAAAATAATTCAGATTTTATTTCTCTTGTAAATGTCTAGAATTCCAGTGTATTGTGGTCCAACAGTCAAAATGCTAAAATATTTGTTATATCGCCTCATTAACTTTTCAGTATTTCTCTCCATATTTGCACTTAAAACAAAGTGAAGTAATTCCAGTATTGCAGGAGTAGTTTCCAAATTTCTCTTTTTGAACGTAGTCAGTGAATATGTGTGCGTACTTTAAAGTAAACCCAACTGGACAATGTATAGTCCAGTAGTGTAGTTATAGACATAGTCACCATAATGTCAAGTGCTTACTTTGCATAAAATCCTTACCTTCTGGTTTTTTCAGTCTTAAAGAAACAGAGCAGACTACTCAGTTTGCATCATGAATGTTTTATGAAACGTTCACCTGAGGTTAAAGCCATTTTGACTCTCAAATTCTATTTCCTCAGTTTTCTCCAACAAGGTCTTTGGCTAGCATAGAGTGACATTGAGTGTGTGTATTGTGTCACCCTGGTTGTTACTGTTACTCCTTTTATTTTTCTGCAGCTTGAAAAAATTGTGACACTGTATTGATGCCTGTTGTTTCATCCTTTCTCTGCATTACAGTTCCCCCAAGAGAAAAATAAGTATTATTCTATGCCATTTTCTGAAATAAAAAATTAAATAGGATAATGTCAGGGGTTTTCTAATTCAGAAACGAAAACAAACAAGAACGAAATGAATAGAGTACATCTGTTAAATCATTGTGATGCCAGTCAGTCATTTTTGTGGTCAGAAGGGTCTGATTTGGCCTTCAGCTTTCATGTGATTCCACTTCAGGGATTCAGGGGAGAATATATAAAACCTTAGAAAACATCTTACATCTTTGTGTTTATTTCATCAGGGTCACACAGCAATGCTCAATTCAGGCTGTTGGCATCCAAAAATAAAGGAAGAATTTTTGACATGTTCTAATGATGGGTAAGTATTGAGGTCCATCTTTGTCAGTGTTTTTGAGAGGCTTGTTTAGCTTTTTGTTTGTAATAGCACTGTGCCCTAATTTGCTGAAATAATCTTTTAATTGTTGCGCAAGTGCTCAGGACAATGTTCGGTGAGATCTGGAAGCAAATATTGTATTTGTTTTGCTTCTAGATGTTTAATGCATTTTGTCTATATTATTTTAGTTCTGTAATTTAAAGTGACTCTTAATGATACTTCATGAAAGTTGTTGGTTAATTGTTTTTACAAACATTCTCGTACAAAATTTAACTTTACCCAGTATTTCTTTGAGGTAAAATAACTCCTCTGGAGAGACTCAGTGTAACTGAATTCACTAGCAAGATTCAGTATTTCAATTGGAATTTGCAAGTTTCATGTTAAGTATAATCGAATATTGATGGATGTTGTTTGACAAGTGTCAGAGCCTGTTAGAAATTGTTTTGTGGCTTCAGTCTTGATCTTTGTGGTTAGAATCAAACTGTGAAATGTCACTGTGGCAACTGCTTTAATTAAGTTACTGCAGTTGTCAGTAACAAGTGTATGGATGGCTTTTACTGATGTTTCAAATACGCAGTCTCCTTTACTCCGGAGTTGCTGTGGGGTGGAAGCTTGAATTGCCCCGCTAATATATCTGTATTGCAGTCCACTGTAAACACAAGGCTTCAGTTATCAATTGCTTTAAACACGTTTGGGTTTTTTTTCTCCCAGAAAGATCAACTTACTGGTTGAACACATGGGTACATGAAGAAATCATTTTAATAGGAAAACTCACAGTTTCTGATGAGACTGTGACAGAAGGAAAAAAACATAAATGCTGCATTGGAGTAGTTGTCAAAATAAAGTTGAGACAACCTATCCAGCTTGTAGACATATAGGTATTAATTCCATAGTACAGAGTATTATTAAATGCTAGAATCAATACTTAAAACAGTTTGATCCTTTGAGTGTAGTTAGACATTAGTACAATTTCTTTATTAGGTTGAAGGGTTTGTAGCTCATAAAAACAGATAAAGATATCATAAATTATGAAGATTGTCTAATTTCATCCCTTCTAAGCAAGTCCCTAACTAATGCACCAAATATGGATTCAGTGTATCCCTGATGCTTGAATGGCTGTGAATTGAACTGGTCAGGTCAAGTAAGCAAAATCCAGATAAACACTACTATAACTACTGTAATTGTGTTTTCAGAGACACTATATGGCTGACATTACAAGAAAAGTATTTTAAACCCATTGCATTTTGCTTCCTGCTAGTGACAGGTCTTTCCAGGGTTTGGACGTGTTGTGAAAAGAAAATTTGGATTGCTAATTTTGCACCACAGAGCTTAAATGTTAAAGACAGCATTCCATCTGTGAAATTTAATAATAATGGAAACTGTAAAGTCTCCAAAGTTTGATTGATAATTCATTGTAAGACTGGAGCTGTAAACTAGAATTTAACAGAATAGTTGTAGTTGGAAGGGAAATGCCATGATCATGCAACTGCCTCTCCAATTCAGGGCTGTCCAGAAGTTAAAGCCTATTATTATGGGCATTGATCCATTGACCACCTCTCTAGGAAGCCTGTTCCACTCTGTGACCACCCTGTCAGTAAAGAAGTGCTTCCTAATGTCCAGTCTGAATCTCCTCTGGTGAAGCTGTGAACAATTCCCACACATCTTGTCCCTGGATACCAACAAGAAGAGATCAGCATCTCACTCTCCCCTTACCCTCCTCAGGAAGCTGGAAAGAGCAATGAGATTGCTCCTTATCCTCCTTTTCCCCAAACAAGACAAGCCCAAAGTCTCAGCCACTACTCGCAGGACATTTCTTCCAGCCCTCCTGCCACTTTCTTGCCCTCCTAGGGATGCATTCAAGGACCTTCATACCCTTCTTCAACTGCAAGGCCCACACTGAGGCCATGCCAAGGCTGAACATAAGGAGGATCATCTCCTCTTTGGTCTCCTGATGTGCTGTGTTCAATGCACCCTGAGATGGGCTTTGCCCTCAGGGCTGCCTGAGCACACTGCTGAGTCTGCTGAACTAAGAAAGTAGTAGTCTGAGTAGGGAAGGTCATCTGATTATACCAAAGTCTAATGAGCTTAAAAAGCTTAATTAATTCAAAGAGATAAGTAAGTATGTTAATGTTCTTTTCATTAACTGTGTTGTCTAAAGGTGAGTTGAGCTAGTGAGTAGCACGCCTTAGAAAATGTATGTTCCATTAGAAAATTTGGAGCATGAGCCTGATGAGGAGCAGCTGATAGAACTGAGTTTGTTATGGAGGAGACTCAGGCCCTGTCATGTTCTACAGCTACCTGAAAGGAGATTGTAGATGAGTGGGGGTCAGTCTTTTGTCCCAGATAACTAGCAATAGGGAAAATGAAATAGGCCTCAAGTTGCACCAGGGTAGGTTTAGATTGGATATTAGGAGAAGTTTTTTACTGGAAGGGTGGTCAGGCATTGGAACAGGCTGCTCAGAAAAGTGGTGGAATTGCCAGCCCTGGAAGTGATTAGGGGCATGGTTTAGTGGAGCATCTGGTAGTGCTAGGTTAATGGTTGGACTTGATGATGTTAAAGGTCTTTTCCAGCCTTAATGATTCTATAGTTCTAAATGACAGGTTGTTGGAATTATACTAATCAGTATCACCAGTATTGGAAGCATTTCTGACTTCTGTTTGGTGGTGATTTTTGAACGAGGAAGAATATCTGCCGTAACATTGCTTTAATATGGTAATTTCAGAGAGTATTTTGCTTAGCAAGGTAACATTAGAGTACCTAGATAGCAAGGCAGAGATGTTTAAAAATAAGAAAAGAAATGGGCTGTGCCATCAAGAGATAATTGAAAACTTCTGTTGGTTTGTGCTTAAAGGAAAGAGGTTTTCTGAATTTTAAGTAGAAGTAATTTATAAATATGATTTATACCAAGCATTCCAGAGACTAGAAATTTTGTATTTAATAGTGATTATTCTACATCTTGCATGGAACACAGTAGGAATGTGATTAAATGTTACAACTGTATCTCTCTGCCAGTCCAAATTTTTACGTTCATTCCAGTATTTATACCTGGCCCTTGTGTGTTGAAGAACTGCATTTGATTAATTTGTAAAGCTGGCTTTTTTTATTGCTTCAATAGATTTGCACTTAAAGAAATGCTGGCAGAAATATGAAACTGTTGAAGAGTCTATGTGAAAGCTTGGTTTATGTTGCATGCAAAGCAAGCAAATCAATTATAAGAGAACTTGGACTTTAGAGACTGTAGCCTTCTCAGGTCAGACCAAAGGACTGGCAGTCTTTATTCTAGAGAGTAGAGGTCTAAATAGGAATAGTATGTGATGAAAGTTTTCAAACTGTTCATAATGTTAAGTGAGCTGAATGTGGAACTGTTGTTTTCCAAAACCTCTTACACTAAGAGGTGTTTCTTGAAAGTGGCTGTAGTTAATAAAATAATATACTTTCTTTAGGTACTGCCCAAATAATTTCTGGAATGTGTTGCCACAGGAGGCTGTGGAGACAAGTTTAAAATGGGATGAGAGAAACTCATGTTTTGAATGGCTCATAAACAGATAGGAAATGCAATAGGCATTATAATGCCTCTTATATGACAGTTGTGGATCGTAAGGGGGAGTGAAGGGAATAAACTGTAATGACCAGTTGTGGTCAGCATTATTATTGCTGTGGTTAGAGACTGAATACAGGACTAAATGAACCTATGATCAGACGTAATGAGGTGTTCCTTATATCTTTGTGTTATTCAGTGGCAGTATGTATGAAGATGTGATTTCATGCTGCACCACTGTTGGAAATATAGTGTGTGGGCTGTTCACAGGATGTCATACTTTTACAGCAGCCTTATATCTGTAGTTGTTGTGGTGTTCATGCAAATAGGTTGACTGTTTGTATGGTCTTCTCTCTCAAGGAAGATGTTAAGACAAAGCCCAGTGTATCTTTGTATGGCTCTGGTACGTAGGTTTTGGCTAAGAATGTTTCTAGTTTTAAACAAACGACAAGGTCTCCCAGTCCTGAGTCAATCTTTCTACAGGACAGGAGATGTGCCTGTACCCAATTTTGACATTCCTGACACTATACACAAATGTGATTTGCCATACCAAGTCCTTGACATATTACTCTCTCTCATACTTCATCAAGATCATCTATATCTGAAAATTTTGCGGTAGATTTTGGTTAGTTTTGTTCTCAAATTCGTAGTAGACATTGGTGTAAGAATAAATTACTTGAATTACAGAGATGCTCAGAAACTTTTAATAGGGAATGTGATGCTAGCTGTATCTCTGCATGTTGAGATTAAATCCTCACATTGAAAAAGAAACTTCCACAACTGGTACATGTGGAGAAGGACACCTAACAATGAACACCAAAATGTGACCCTTCAGAGGGTCATCCTGTATGGATATAGGAGGATGAAACCAGTGTTTCCTTTAATAGGCATGAAGTAAGGTTGAACATCTTCCAGTTTTGCTATTAAAGCAAAGCGATATTAGCTTTTAAATAGACTTTGCTCACATGATCGGTGTTTCTGATCATGTGGGCTTCTCTGTATTCCAAATCCGGTTGCCAGAACCAAGACCTTTTTGAGGATGCCTGCAAGGAAAGGTGTAAGGGTTTTCAGTTATCATCTGTGAGTTGGAAGGTACCAGAAATAATGGTTGAAGCATGAGTGTTGTGCTCCTTGAGGCACACTGAGTGGCAGTGTCTGAGGTTGAAGGAGAAGAGCACATGGAAGCAAGTGAGAGATGTTAATATACTGATAACACTAATCTGTGTATTCTCTACATCTAGATAATGTTTGCACCTCCTCTAGAGAAAGCAGTCATTCCTAAACTGGCAGAACTGCTTGCAGGCTGTGAACTTTATTTGGTCTGATTGCTATAGCATTTGCATAGTCTGTCTCTTTTGTTTGGTTGCCACCTACATACAGTTTAAAAAATAAAGTAAGGAAGGAAGATTGCACTTTCTGTGTGCTATGTTGAAAGACGGAGTTTTC